AAAGATAGTGCCCAAACCTGAAACAGTCCTAGTATTAGGGATAACTAAAGGTGAATATACAAAAGATATTGAATGTTTAATTATATATACATATATATATATATTCTGAGGTTATCGCGGGTATTTGTATGTGGATCTTTGGTTATTCGGGTTTTCTTCCGCGTAAGATTGGAAGTATCTAGGCAACGTTTCGATGAAGTCTCATTCATCATCTTCAGGCTTGTGTCTGCAGCTCTGTGCATCTCACTCTGAGAAAACCGTACCCCCACAGATGACATGATTATAAAGAAAGTGATGGATTGTGCAGAAATGAACAAATTTACAATGGAATTGCAGGAGAGGGAAGAAAAAGAATACTATACAGTTTGGGAAAAATGAGATGTCTGGTTAGACAACAGAAAGAAAAGAGAATGTAAATGTAAAACTGTTAAAGTGTAATTGTAAATAGTGTGTGTGTGTGTGTGTGTGTGTGTGTGTGTATAGGAGAAGGGAATAAAACAACTGCAAAAAATATATGTAGAATTTGTTTTTAAACTTGAAAATTCAATAAAATTTATTTTTTTTAAAAAAAACAGTTTGGTTTTTTAAAAAGTTCCTACAGCATAAGAACAGAGGACTTCAGCGAAGGGCTTTTCCTGTGCTATCACGTTAAAACAATCTTTACCCAACCTTGAGTCAGCAGAAAACAGCTGGCCTGAGATAGGGTTCCTCTTGGCCCATCGCTGTCCTGCTTCGGTTGCTTCTGTTCCCATGTAGCCCCGACTTCCAAAATAAATGGTGATAACACTTCAAGAGATTTCACACCCCTTGAGGCTGCCAGGAATTGAGGTCAGAAGAAAAGGGAAAAGCGATTTAGCACAATTCCCAGGCTGTCTCACTTGTGGGAAAAAGAAGATGTTACCAGGTCATACTTCTGCCATGGTTCAGTACACATGAGCAAGGCTGCTGAATCCCTGGGCAAGTTTAAATTCCAAATTTCGAGAAGAATGGCATGTCCAAAAAATTTGGAGACAGCACCATTTTTCTATGGGCCACAACGCTGCTCCGAATTTGGAAAAATTAACATTTACATCTACTTGGATGCTGGCTTTGGATGTGTTAGATTCTAAAAGGGTTTCCTAACCTTTTCTATATCCCTCCCCTCCCAAGAATGCTTCTGATATATTCTCGCATGCTTTGCAAAAGTAGATAATTATATGCATATAATTATGTATATATACTATAATTTTGAAACTTCTAAACCCAAGTTTTCCCACCCCCCTCCCGGAATATGGTCTCACATCCCCAGGGGGTACAAGCAGCCCTGTTTGGGAACACCTGTGTTAGAATAAGGCAGAAAGTGTTATTTTAACACCAATGTAATTAAAGCTACCTTGTAGATGGGTTGGGGATGAAGAAATCTCATGGACATTTGGCAGGAAAAAATATCTCCAAATGTATGTTTGTACCATGGGGAGCTTTAGGTGACAAAGAACTAAATATATGTAATTTTAGTTACAAGATCAGTCCAGAAAACTGGGTATTTATAGGGGTACCTTGAACTCATTATTAATTGGTTCTGGGAGGCACAAGAAGTACCAAAAATGATGAGTATCAAATGAATTTTCCCCCAAAGGAATAGAATAGAATAGAATAGAATAGAATAGAATAGAATAGAATAGA